CCTTGTGCTTGGCCTCAGCTGGATGCTGAGACCCAGAGAAACTGCATCTGTGGGGACTTCGCTCCAGGGAGACGGAGGGGGTCAGGGCTGTGGGAGCCCAGGGGGGCAGTGACCCCACAGGCAGGGGGCATGCAGGGAGGACTTCCCGGAGGTGGTGACTGATAGCCTGGATTTTGACTAGTTGTGCAGACTATACTATGCACATTGAAGAGAGGAAAGATTTTTAGCTGGGGAAGAAGAGAGAGAGAGAGAGAGAGAGAGAGAGAGAGAGTGTGTGTGTGTGTGTGTGTGTTCATGGCACAGCAGGAGGGCTAGAAAGTTCTAGCTGGAGATGAAACCCCACCAGGTGATGCTCTCCCACCTAGCACTGCTGAGTTTTGAATTCAGGTTGCTGGGTGGCGAGGAGCCTCTGCCGAGCACGTCACAGGCCGGGCCGGGCCTTTGTGTGCTGTCTCGTGCAGTTCTCAGGGCGAACGTGCTCGGGCTCATTCCCCCACCCACAGAGGGAACCAGGCAGGGAGCTGTTAGTCACCTACCGAGCACTAGCGACACCAGGATTTGAACCCTGGGCCAGGTCGCAGGCTCTGGGCTCTGACCAACCACCGGAGAGGGGGCGGGAGCAGACAAGGCTGGGGAGGGCAGGAAGCGTCCTGGTGGTCCACCGGGCGGCCAGCACGTTCCTAGGGCTGGACGTGGGAGGGACAGAGCCGGGAGACCCCAGGGGCGCTGACCGGCCACGTCCCCCGCCCCCTGACCCAGGACTGACCAAGGAGCCAGTGCTGCGGATGCTGGTGCCTGAGCAGTGCCCAGCCCCTGCCCCCGCCCTGGACGCTGGCGGCGACGGAGGCCAGCAGGCGCGGCCATCGCTCGACTGGACCGTGCCCAGTGTACTCATCAGGGATGTGCCCAACTTCGAGCAGCTCTCGCCAAAGCTGGAGGCTGGTACTGCCCCTGCAGCCGGGTCACCGCTGGCGTCCTGCCCGGAGGGGCCTGGGCCCGGCCACCCCGCCGGTGCGCGTGGCCTGGGGGGGCAGGACTCGTTTGCTGAGCCCCTTGGCTGGCTGCCGCGCAGGGTGCCAAGTGGGGTGCCGGGTGGGGCCTGGGGTCTTCTACATGCCCGGTGTCTTCCACTGCTCAGCTCGCACGTGGCCCCGAGCACGTCTCCTTACCCCGGTTCACTGATGAGGAAACTGGGACCAGTAGCGGGAGGGAGAAGCCGAGGTCCCGCGCGCTGGCGGACTCGGGCCACCCCAAGCCTGGGGAGGCCTGGCCTTTGCCCGCTGGCCGGGAAGGGGCAGGAGGCACAGGGCGACTCCAGAGAGGCCCGCGGAGATGCTGGACTCCTGCCCTGCTCCCGCTACCCTGAGGATGTTCCGTGGGGATGAGGCAGCACAGGCAGAGAGGTCCGGGGACTC